TTGATTATATTTATAATTAATAGATTTGGTAAGAATTTCTCAAAAAATGTCCCAATATTATTTAAAGATGATCAGAGCAGATGAGAACTTATATTATAGTCAAAATTAGTAACATGTTTGAAGATGAAATATATCACCACGGAAAGACATGTTTACATTTGATATTATCTATCAAAATTATGTTGGTATGTATTCATAAAATAATATTATTAGCCTTATTTTACATTTTATTTAGCCATGGACAAAACGTCCTTCCGAGACGTGTCCTTCCATGACGCCTACTTGATCTTTTTATATGCAAAATTTTCAAATTTATTATTTTTTTTCCAAAAAAATTTTTATACACTGAGAAAGTAAAATAATCAAATATTCATATTTTGATTTGATTTTAAAAATATCTACACAGACAGAGCAGAATTTTAGTGTTGAAGTTGAAAGTTAAAATTCCATGTCCATTTCACGTCCTTCCGAGATGCTAACTATTTATTATAATTTTTTCGTAACTTTAATTTTTTTAAACCTAATTTTTTGCCTAATTATAACTTACATATAGAAGAATAAACAAACAAAAAATGGACCTTGTAACTTTTTTACTTTTGAAAATATTTTCATTTGAAGTGTCAAATGTCCTTCCATAACAGCAAAAAAATACCACGGAATGGCCCTAATATAAATAACTAACAGAAGAGACTGATCACAGCCTTATCTCAATACCGATGTCTAAATTCATACATACCAAAAATAAGACTAACACTGAAGGGCTCAGGTAGCGATAAAATAAATAAAATCTACCTGATAGATATGCTCAATTGTAAAATTGGGGTATTTTTAGACCACAGATAACCTACTAGTGATTTTATGAAGTACTGCACACCTAGGATATATACATACAATGCAGAGTATCACAGCAAAAAGAAATATACTGGAATTAACTTTATTCTAAATTTCAGCCAGTTTCCTTCCTCATCCTACCACAAACTTAGTCTGACTTGTATCTCTCACTGCACCAGTGATTTAATAATGGCCATTATAGTTACTCAGCTATTTTATCTGTGCCGAAATGCAGGTTGATTAATAGTGTGACCTAGTACATTCTCTGGCTTCTGATAAAGTTAACTGATATGTATTTTTTTTTTGAAGGAAATACCTTTACTTGTCCTTCTTTTGAAACAGACTGTTTTCAGTCACATCCTTTAACTTCATTTGCTGACTTCAGCTATCTAGCCAAAGGCTGTATATTTAATGCATTACTTATTACTCTGATCAATGTGTCAGAATTAAAATTCAAATCTACCCTTTTTAAAGTCTACAGTAAAACATCATTCTAAAACTAGATATAACCCAACATAAAGCTCATCCTTCACATTCTCACAAATTATACATAGCTCTGTCTTATTTCTACACTTCTCTGCCATTTATATCAAAATCTCCTAACAACTGGGAAAATATTTTGCCTTTGGGTTTAAGCTACTTAACCCAGAGAAGGCTTCATAACGTTGATGTGGGGGCCCCATTACAGACAAGGGCATGTTGTTTCTGGAATCAAACAGGACAGCCCAAACACCTCCATATAATGTAGACCTAATACTTGTGACCCTACTTAATTCAACAGGAGTCCCTACAGAGCAAACAGCAGGGCAAACAAAACCAGGAACACCTGAAACTGAGCACAGCAACCTTCAGGGTCATCAATCCCTTGCAGATAACTCACAAGTGTTAACACAGGGAAGATCCTCGTCTGTTTGGGGATCACGCAATTTATACCTCTCAGTGATAACAGAGACAGCGGTACTCTTTTTGTACAAACACGGTTCTCAAATATGAAAGCTGGAAATCTACAGGCTACTTCAAAAGATGTGTTGTAACCAGGAAATGGGCCCTTGTTCCTACACCTGTTTGGTGATACTTTACTACAGAGACGACATACGGTTATATGTTAAAACATGATAATAAACAGCTGGTTCCAAAACACATTATAGGGAGGTGTGGTGAGGGACATGTAGCAACCTATTTCTCTTTGATCATAGACCTGCGTTATCTTTTCTTTCCACCTATGTTAAATGCTATCCACAAGGGCACCAGGCCAAGCTATTATTTCAATGATTACTAGTAAATGAAAGTCAGAGCAGGCTTCCTATTTGTTGAAATAGTGTGACTGAAACTGTGCCCCAAGTTATATCATTTGGTGCTCAATAAAACAATGATTATACTTAGTTCAGACAAATATTTTTCATCAACCAATTTCTCCTTTTTCAATATGGTAAAAATGGAGAACAATATTATCATGCATTTAGCTGCATTTAGTGACTTGTAGATGAAACATGAAAATTCACCTTACTGTCTGAAACAAAAAAATTAACGAGAACAAATATGATCAGAAAAACAGGACCTACCTGTGTCTTCCTAGTCTTGCTAGTGCTGCCAGATACATCTATGGCATAAACATCAACACTGAAACTATGCTGTCCAAGATCATAGTCCAGGGACACTGCTGTGGTCACTACACCTGTCTGTCGGTCAATAGCGAAATACCTGGGCATTTGTTGACCACTGGAGGTAATCCCTGTGATGTAGTATTCTACTTGAGCTCCTGGGGAACTGGCCTGCACTTGAACAGATACACTGGTCCCTGGGGTCTGGTTTTCATACACTGATCCACTGTAGGGGGTGTTCCCAGTGAACGCGGGCCCATTCTCAGTGGTAGCTTTAATGATGACATCGATGGTTGATGTTGAGGAAAGTCTCGAGGTGCCCGAGTCTGTCGCTGTCACAGTGACGGAGTATTTGAGACGTGAACTCGGGATGCTTGATTTTAAGAGGAGGACACCCGTGTTGCTCTGTAGGGTGAATAAGTTTGTATCTCCTCCTGATAGAGTGTACGTGACAACCCCATTAGGTCCCGCGTCGGGGTCTTCAGCATGCACATTCATGACCTGAGAGCCTGCCTGTCCCAACACAGACACCACCGCTGCTGTTAGTGATGTAAAAACTGGGGCGTTGTCGTTCACATCATCAACCAAGATAGTGACAGTTTTCAGTGATGATCTACGTGTGTTCACAGGTGTGGCTTGGTCCGTTCCTTTAACTGTGAGGTTAAAACGACCAATCAACTCCCTGTCTATTCTCTTTTTGGCAATTATCTGTCCAGAAGTTGGATTAATGTCAAAATAGTCACCAACAGGGTCCTGATGGAGGATGGAATATCTTATTTCTCCATTGGTTCCAGAGTCTAAATCGGTGGCAGTTAAAACTGCAACAGGGATATTGGGGTTGTTATTCTCAGCAACATGGAACACTGCAGGCTGTGTGGAAAACTGGGGAGAGTTATCATTGGAATCCTGAACACTGACAACAAAAATAACTGTTGTGTCCTGTCTAGGACTTCCTCTGTCACTGGCCATAATTTCTAGCAGATACTGAGGGGTCTGTTCATAGTCCAGCTTCTTCTGTAGGTAAAGCTTGCCAGACTTGGCATCCAGGTTGAATGTGTTGTCTGTGTTACCACTTGCAATGCTGAACTGTATTGCAGCATTGTTGAGTATATCGGCATCTGTGGCTGAAAACTGGGTGATGAATTCCCCAGGGGTTGCCGTTTCACTTATATCAGCTCTCAGTGTAGTGTGGATAAACTGTGGGCTATTATCATTGGCATCCAGAACAGTGATTCTCACAGTGGCGGT